AAGACAGAAGGAAATTTGACATTGAAGAGGAAGAAAGCAATGTGATGATGGAAGCAGAAACATTTGAATATGCTATGTTGCTGGCTTTGGAGATGGAGTAAGTGGACATAAATCAAGAAATGCAGCTCTAGACGCTGGAAAAGGCAAGGAAATGGATGCGCCCCTAAAGTTCCCAGAGACAGTATTGCCCTGTTAATACCTTGGTTAAACCCCATAAAATTATTTCAAATTTATGACCTCCAGCATTGTAAAAGAATAAACTTCTATTGTTTAGGCTATGAACTTTGTGGTACTTTGTTACAGCAGCAATAAAAAATTAATACAGACAGTATAAATGTATGTTTGTGACTCTTTCCTGTTTGATTTAAAGGAAAACTGCATAAAAACAATAATTATAAAACAATGTTTATGGGTGTGCAATGGCTAAACGTGTAGTTTCTATGACAATAATAGCACAAAGGAGCAAGGAGTGAATGGAGATATTTTATTTTTTATTTTTTTAAAGATCTTATTTATTATTTATTTGAGAGACAGACAGACAGAGATAGTGAGAGAGAGCATGAGCAGGGAGGAGAGGGAGAAGCAGGCTCCCTGTCGAGCAGGGAACCTGATGTGGGACTCCATCCCAGGACCCTGGGATCATGACCTGAGCTGAAGGCAGACACTTGACTGACTGAGCCACCCAGGCGCCCGGGAATGGAGATATTTTAGAACGAACTTTTAAATATTATTGAAATTAAGTTAGAATTGACAAAATTAGATTGTTTTAAGATGTTAATTTTAATCCCTGGGGCAACCACTAGGAAAATGATTTTTTAAATCTTCTAAAAAACAAGAGAATTAAAATGGCATACTAAAAATGTCTTTTAAAAAGAATGAAATAGTGGAGAAATAAAGGAGCAAAAAAGACAGTAGACATATAGAAAACAAATAGTAAAATGGCAGATGTAAATCCTACCTTATCCATGATTACATTAAATACAAATTGATTAAACACTCCGTTCAGAGGGCAGAAATTGGCAGAATGGGGCAAAAAAGCATAATCCAACTGCATACTCTCTACAAGAGAAACACTTTAGATTCAAAGAAATAAACAGAATGAAAGTGAAAAGATGGAAAATATATACCATGCAAAGGCTAATGAAAAGAGTAGTGGTTATTTTAATATCAGGCAAAACAGACTTTAGGACAAAAAATATTATTCAACAAGAAAGGTATTTTATAATGACAAGGTCAACCCATCAGGAATATGTTACAACATGTGTAAACATATGTAAATGTCAAAATACATGAAGCAAAAACTGCCAGAAAAAAAGGGGAAAAACAGACAATTTGATGATAGTAACTGGAGACTTCAAAATGACACTTTAAAAACTTGATGGAACAAGTAGGAAGAATATCAATAAGAAAATAAGACAGTTGGGTGGCTCAGTCAGTTAAGTGCCTGCCTTTGGCTCAGGTCATTATTCCAGGGTCCTGGGATTGAGTCCCGCATCGGGCTCCCTGCTTAGAGGGGAGTCTGCTTCTCCCTCTGTCCCTCCCTCCCCACCCCTACCTGTGCTTGCTCTCACTCTCTCTCTCTCTCTCTCTCAAAAAAGTAAATAAAATCTTAAAAAAAAGAAAAGAAAAGAAAAGAATTGAATAAAACCAAACCAACTAGAATAACAGACATTTATAAAATACTCCAAGCAGCATCAAAATACACATTCTTGTCAAGCACCCATGGTACTTTCTCTTGGATAGACCATACAGTAGACCATAATAAAATACCATATAAATTTATAAGGATTGAAATCATACAAATAATATTCTCTGAGAATAATGGAATTAAGTTAGTAATTGAAAACATAAGGAAATCTGAAAAATCTACAAACATGTAGAAATTAAACAGTGTGTTTACATTTAATCAGAAGAAATCATGAGGGAAATTAGAAACTACTTTGAGATGGATAAAAATGAAAACACAACATACTGCAACTTATGGGATGTAGTTAAGCAGTGCTTAGAGGGAATTTTATAGTTGTAAATCCTTATATTAAAAAGATGAAAATCTCAAATCAATAATTTAAATTCTCACCTTAAATCACTAGAAAAAATCAGCTTAAAACCAAAGAAATCATAAGGAAGGAAATAGTAAAGATTAGAGTGGAAAAAATGGAATAGAGAATAGTAAAACAATAGAGAATGTCACTAAAACCAAAAGCTGGTTCTTTGAAAATATAAGAAAAAAAACCTGGCAATGCTATAGCTAGACCTACCAAGAAAAAAAGGATAGGGATTCAAATTATTAAAAACAGGAATGAAAGAGGGGACATGACTTAACTCTAAAGGTTTACAAAGGATTATACAGTAATACTATGAACAGCTGTATGACAATAAGTAAGACAAGACAGATGAAAGAGCCAAATTCCAATAAAGACACAAACTACCAACACTGACAAATAGGAATAGGAATAGAAAGAAAAGTAACCTTACTGAAAATGGCAGTGGAATTCTGGGACTTGACCCCCTCTCCCAAAAGCAACTAATAAGCTGGCAAAAAGTATCAGAATCAACTTTTGTAGAATTCTGGAACCTAGTAAAGTAAAAATTGTAACAACCAGGAGGAAATTTGGTGAAAAAAGAGGCTGCTGTTTGTGGTAAGAAATTTTAAATTGTCTGCCTACCACAAACAGCCTCGGGCAAGGAACAACATTTGGGATAAACAATAGACAGGTTGAGAAGTATAAGTATGAGAAGTTGGGGAAAAGACATACATGGAGGATAAAACACTTTAAAAACTCACATATACTAAGGAATCAAATAGTATATGTCCATATCTGAGGTTGGACACATGCTCAAAAAAGGCCAGAGAAGACTCTAAACATTAACCTTGGGCTGGCCCTTAAGGTCTGCACAAGCAGAAAGTAAAGCATTAAAAATACCTCAGCTCAGAGCTCATCTGCAAAGACTGGGAAAGTATTTTTCTTCTGTTGGCTCTAGACATTTAAAGTAACTCTGTCCAAATACCAGTTGATTACTGAGCTAATATGGCACATATTTCAGTGGCCACACATGACAAAGAATACAGAATTTAAAAAATATATTTTAAAAAGTCACTAAACAAAGAAAGAACCAACAACAAAGAACAATAACAAACCCTGGAAAGCGGGAGGATCTAATTTACAGAGTTGACATTTTCTAATATACAAAACATCTAGATTCCAACACAAATTGTGAGACATGTGAAGAAACAAGAAAGTATGGTCTATTTCTAGGAAAGAAAAAAATTATTAGACTGAGTATAAGAAAGTTCATGTATTGGACAAACTAGAAAAAAATTTTAGATCACCTTTCTTAAATATGCTCAAAGAGCTAAAGGAAACCATAGACAAAAGACTAAAGAAATGAGGGGGAAATGCCCCAGCAAATATAAACTATCAACAGAGAGATAGAATATAGAGATAGAAATTATAAAAAGGAACCAAATAGAAAATCTGGAGCTGAAAATAACTGAAGTGAAAACCTCACTAGAGGGATTTGACAGCATATTTGAGCAGGCAGAAGAAAGAATCAGTTACCCTGAAGATAGATCAATTGAGATTATCCAGTCTGAGGAGCAAAAAGTAAAAAGAATGAAGAAAATTTAGCAAAGCCTAAAAGAACCAGGAGACACAATGAAGCATACTTAACATATGCATGATAGGAATCCCAGAAGGAGAAAAGAGAAACAGGAAGAAAGAATTTTTGAACAAATAAAAGCTAAAAATTACTCATAAGGGGACACACTAATCTATGCATACAAGAAGTTCAGTTAACTCCAGTCAGGATAAACATGATCCAAACCAAGACATATCATAGTCACAGTGTCAAAACCAAGCATATGGTGTTACACTGTAACAACTATAGTTTTGGCAGTTTTCTAGTTTTTGAGTTGGGTGGTGGTTTCACAGTATAAAAGAGGAAAGGGAAGGGAAGGGGAAAAAAATAAAGGGGAGGAAAGGAAAGAAAAGAGGGACAAAGGATTAATGATAAAGACTGTTGTAGACCAAGGATTACAATAGATATGTTCATCTGTGATACATTTAAAAAAAATGTCTTAATGCTTCTTTTTTTTCTTTTTGCCTGTCTGACATTCTACATGAGAACAGGTCAAATATTGGAGTGCAAGTTTCAAGTGTGAAGGAAGTGAACGGAGAAGGTGAGAAGGAAGTTGCTGAAAGCAGGTTGGGGTATATGGATTTTTGAGGTCCCTCGGGGATATTCAAGCAGTGGTATCCAATAGACAGTTGGCAAAGAGGGTCTGGGGCTAAGGGGAGGAAATAGTCTGGAGACGGAGATTTGAGAATCATCTGTGCTTAGAGGGAAATGAACAGAAATCTCTCAGGGAGAGAGAACATGTGGACTGAGAGAAGAGGCCCAGGAACACAGCTACTCAAGGTGTGCTTAGAGGGAAATGAACAGAACTCTCTCAGGGAGAGAGCACGTGTGGACTGAGAGAAGAGGCCCAGGAACACAGCTACTCAAGGTGGCAGCGCCGCTTCCTGGCGGGCACTACTGCCGGGGCTCTGGAGTCAGGCAGAGCCGGTCTTGAAAGCAGCCTGTGGGACTCAGTTGCTGAGCGCTCCTGGCAAAGTCGGGTACCGTTCCTGTGATCAGCGGTCACACCTGCAATGACGTACATCGCAGAGGGATGCTGTGGGAGGACCTGAGATGCGCCAGGTAAAGCACCTGCGGTCGGGAAGCCTCCGGGCGCCTGCTCTCTCCTTGATTCCCCCTTTGCCACCCCGCCCCCCCACCGTGTGCGGTTGCTCGGTCCCTTGGGGATGGGGGTGAGGGGGCGGGGTGGGGACCGAGCTCGGGTGACGCGGCGCTCACGTGACCAGCTGGGCGCCGACGTGGGCAGCAGCCCCCGCGCCTGCCCGCTCGCCCGCTCTGCGGTCTGGTCCCTGCGCCCTCCGCTCCCGTCGCCCGCGCGGATCCAGCTCCCTGAGCTGCCCGGGCGGCGGGCGAGGGGCAAGCGGGCTTCGGCGAGCCCGAGGAGGCGCAGGCCTTCCCCGGGCCCCGCAGGTCAGTGTGAAGGTGGGCGCTGCTGGCGGCCCCGGGCTGGGGTGGAGGTGGATGGCAGTAGGATCCGCGAGCAGCGCGGGGTGGGGAGGGGTCCGGGAGGTCGGTGGGGAGGGGGATGCAGCACGGACATGGGCAGGTGGGGAGGGAGCACCCCGCCGCCTCCTCGACGCCCCTCCTGTGCGCCCTCCATGCATTTTTGGACCTGAAATGGGGGGAGGCGCCCCCGCAGTGCGACAGTGAAATGTAGGCATATTCTAGAAATAACCCCCTATCACACTCTGCACCTAAAAGGAAATACTGACCTCCGCGGAAAGGAGGTGGGGGTGGGCGGCTTGCCTGCAGGGGAGGGGGACCCAGAGACCCAAACCATTTGGAAAGCATCCTGGTCTGGAGTCTGAAGCCTAAAAATTAATGGCGGCTGGGATGCGGGGGAGGTAGGAGAGGGAAATGTTGCTTGAGTAGGACTCAGATTCAGGAAAGAAACCTCAGTAGGCTGAGTGCACAGGCTCTGCTCCTGTCTCCTCTCTGTCTGCAGGTCTCTGTGTCTGTCCCCAGCACTCTGCAAGGCTAGAAAAGGAGGAGGAACCTGTCCAGAATCCCTGCAGGTTAGTGAAAGAGGGAGACCACTGGACAGGAACGGTGGGGAGAGGGTGCAGAGGGCACAGTTTGGGCAGAATTTGAGGGTCCCACTGCCCATCTTACCACCATGTATATTGCACCCACCCTGCCACACCAAGGGATGGTACAAAGGGCCTGCCAGGGAAATGGTTGGCTCTCACCTGTGGGATGAATTGTGAGGTAAAGGGTGGGCAGAAGACACACTTGGAGGGCTTGGGCAGGTCAGGGGAACCCAGCCAAGGGGAAGGATGCCAGTACTATCAGCACCTGCATTCCACCTCCAAGGCCTCAGTCTCCCTTGTCTCTTTTGACTTCTCTTACCCCCCAACCCACCCTACCCCCCACCCAGGACAAGGAAAAGAAGGGAAAATCTCAACATGGAAAAACTCTACAATGAAAATGAAGGAAAGCTGGAAATCGAGGGAATGCCAGAAGATGAAGTGGAGCCTGAAGATGAAGGAAAATCAGATGAGGAAGAAAAGCTGGAAATGGAGGGGAAGCCAGGGCATGAGGGAAAGTTCCAGAATAAGGGACAGCCAGATGATGAGGGACAACCAAAAGATGAGGGAAAGCAAGAAAAGCAGGGCAAGTCTGAAAATGAGGGAAAACCACACGGTGAGGGCAAGCCAGAATCCCTGGCAAAACCCGAGGGTGAGCCACGGGCTGCCGAAAAGCGCCCAGCTGAAGATTACGTGCCCAGGAAAGCAAAAAGAAAAACAGACAGGGGGACAGATGATTCCCCCAAGGACTATCAGGAGGACTTACAGGAAAGGCACTTGGGCAGCGAGGAGATGATGAGAGAATGTGGAGATATGTCAAGGGCTCAGGAAGAGCTAAGGAAAAAACAGAAAATGGGTGGTTTTCATTGGATGCAAAGAGATGTACAGGATCCATTTGCCCCAAGGGGGCAACGAGGTGTCAGGGGGGTGAGGGGTGGAGGTAGGGGCCAAAGAGGCTTACATGATATCCCATATCTTTAATGCCTTTGGCCTTCAATTTTGTTTTCTCTAATGAGAATATTGCTGATGCTGCTTTCCCTGGCAGGCATTTGCCAGGCTATGTGCTTTAACCTTAAGCTGATATTTTGTTTTAGGTGTCACTCTTGTTACCAGCAGCCTTTTGGTCCAACTATAATGCTCTCCGCCTTTCAGTAGGGAATTTTCATCCATGTGCATGGAAAAGATGTTCATGGTACATTCCAAAATAACAATAAAGATAAAACCACTTTCAGAACCCCATATGCAGTATCAGCCCATTTTTTTGTAAAAATATAATGTTTACATAATGCATTTGTGCACAGAGAAAACTCTGAAAGTGTGTTACACTAAATAGTAGGCAATGGTTTTTCCTGCATGGTAGCCAAAATAGGACTCACCCGTACTCAAAAATGAGTTCAATCACCTCATGGTTAGGTACTTCCATGGCATTCCTCAGCAGACATGCCCAACCCCATGTCTTCCCCTAGTTGTAACCATGTCAGTGAGCACTGCTGCTCCTTCTGAGTACTCTACCATCCTATGGCTCCGACCATGTGTGATTCTTCTTATTTGGTCACTCATCTCTTTTTCCTAAATATATGAATTATGTTTGTCATAATTAAAAAATAACTAAAATCAGAGAAGAAAACATGGTAAGTGATTGAACTGTTTTGTGAGTTTAAGAGGGCAGTGAAGACACTTAAAATTCCTGTTGTCAGAACATAGAATAATAAGTAAAACTCACATTTTCTAGGACTAATAGCTAGAGGAATCAACCTGACAGTTATAACAGACCCACTGCTATAAGGGTCAATGTTGTCATCTGTGAAATGGGGATATTACTTCCTTCATGGGCCTGCCAAGTGGATCAGAGGTACTGAGTATGTGAGCTCTGTTGTAACCCAGGCTCTACCAGATACTTGTGTGTGTGGGGGGGGGGGATGGCTCCCACACCATTCCCATGCAGCAGCAGGTATATGGATGGAATCAGACACTTGGAGCAGGACTGAAGGTCTCACCTGTGCCCAGTAACAAATCTAAGCAGCTAGAAGATGAATGTCATTGTCTCCTGGATACTTCCATGTCTGCTGGGCACTGTGCCCTTTCTCCTGGGTTCTGTACTTATTACTGATACTGTCTAATTATCTGGAGGCCTAGGTGCCAAAGCCCTATCAATTTCTCTAGAGCCAATGCCCACCTACCCTTGACCCTTATCAAGTATGAATAAAGCTCTTTCCCCACTTGAATTATAGTTATTCAGTTACCTGTGAATATCCCACTAACGCTACTTGCAATGATGTTTTATGTGTATTTTTTTGGTTTGTGTGTTTTTGCATACATGAATATCCTCATCAAAATCAGATATTGCAGGCTAGACCAGGAAAAAAAAATATCTGTATGATAAAACTGTGCTAGGGTGACTGGGTGGCTCAGTTGGTCAAGTGTCTGACTTCAGCTCAGGTGATGATGTCAGGGTCCTGGAATAGAACCCCACGTTGGGTCCAGGGCTCAGTGGGGAGTCTTTTTGTCTCTCTGCGCCTCCCCCACTTATGCTCTTTCATAAATCAATCAATCAATCAAATCTTTTTTTAAAAAAAATCTGTGCTATTCTTACAGGTTAATATCTGCAAACTCTCTTTCCTAGGTTGAGTTCTCTCCCAGGAAACTTTTCAGGCCCCAGTTTAGCAAGTCAGCCAACCCTTAAATATATTTTATTTTTAGATCCTTTTAGTGAACATGTGGTGCATGGACCAGCTCATCAGTATCACTTGAGAGTTAATTAGAAATGCAGAATCTCACCTTACCTCAGACCTACTGAGTTAGGATCATTTTAACAAGACCCCCAGGTGATCCCTATGCACATTTAAGTTTGAGAACCACTGGCTTAGATGGAGACTCTTTTCAGGCTCTCCACTCCCACCTTCCCGTAAAGTATGTACCTGAAAGTATAAATATATACACCATATAAGATACACATCACAGATTATTAAATAGACCCATGTTTGTCAAACTGAAGTTACCACTTTCCCATTCATTGGTAAGTCTTGAAGTTAATTCAGTGAATCAAGACTTGCAAATTGTTAAGGAAATAAGATAGAATAAAGGCAAATAGAAAATATCAAATTGCAGGTATGGTGAATATTATATGAAATTTGTGTTTCAGATGTGTGTGTGTGTGTGTGTGTGTGTGTGTAACATGAGTTGTGATACAAAAATATATTTCTAACTGTGGGCTGTGATTTTAAAAAACTGAGAAACACTCTATTGGATTCTTTGCATCTCAAAACTTATCCATCCCATTTCATATTTGTAACCCTAGTGCCCAACACAGTACCGGACAAATAGTAGGTATTTAATAAAAGCATAAATAATAAGGACTAATTTGGGAACCCTAAGTTTTTCCCCAAGCTTAGCCCCTATCTACATAATTAACTTTGGACACATAATTTTAATTGTCTAACAGGGTTTACCAGCACCAAGGAGAGCTCCTGGGCTGGACAGAGTGAAACTTCTCAATCCCAGGAAGACAGGCTCTGTAAAGTGAAACTAAACAACTGTGGTATATGTGCTGTAAAGGGACCCAGTGGAAGACTCTGTATGCCACAGGAGTACAGTGTCATAAAGGAACAGTATGTCTGCCTGTGGGAGGCCAGACTAAGGAGCTGCTATGGAGGGATAACAGTTGAGCTACCTGCAGGTGATCTTTCTCCAGTTAGCCTGTGGGAATCAGGGCCTTAGATTTTAGAGACAACATATATCATATTGGTTTTGTGCTTGGACTCCATATGGTTTCCAATTTTAAGTGGTACCCAGAGCAAGAAAAAGATCAACAGTAGGTCCAGGCTATAGTGCAAGTTTCTCTGACACTTCAGCCTCATGACCCTGCAGACCCAACTGTATTATATTCTTGCTATACAGAGTCTATGCAGCCTTAAAAATCCCCAATAATAGAATCAAAAAAACACACTCCTAGGGTTTTTGAGCAAACCGTGCCCTCTTCTTTCAGCAGTCTCCATTTCAGAAGGTGCTCACTTGGGCTTGCTACTAGACCCTGGTAGAGACTTAATACCTGGCCATGAGATATTAATTTTCTGTATGAATGAGACACCCATTATGAACTTGTTTCTATTTACTCTGTTGAATAGTAAAGTTTTCTGTGAGCACTTGCAAATGGATTAAAAGACTGGACTAGGGTACATAAAAATGGCACAAGTAAATTACATGATACCTATTCCTGCTATTTGATTGTCTCTATCTCTCAACCATCATGTATGGCCTAATGGGAGTTCCTCATAACCATTTAGAAGAGGGATAAAACAATGATCCAGTTTGTGGATGTATCTTCTTGGTATGTTGATGGTAGATGTAAATGGATGTCTGCTGCACTATAACCCCACTCAGGAATGACTCAGAAAAACACTGGGAAAGAAACATGCTACCAGTAGGTAGAATGCTATGTGGTTCATATGGGTCTTTGTATATAACTTTTCATGGCTGTAGGTATGGATCTACTCTGACCCATATGCAATGATTAAAAGACTGATCAGGGACTTTGGAAAGAATTAAATTAGAAAATTAATAATAGTGCAGATTTTGTATCCCATGATATAATAATTTACTATTGCACAACAAATTATGACACACTGAGGTTAACAAAACATTCATTTATTAGTTCACACATCTGTAGGCCAGAGGTCTTGCAATGTATGGTTGTGCTTTCTGCTCAGGCTCTCACAAGGCTGACATCAAGGTGTTTTCAGAATTCAGTTCCTTGCAGCTACAGGACTGTGGTACTGCATATTTTTACTGGCTAACAGCTGAGCTGTTTTCAGCTTATAAAAGCTTGCATTCTTCACCACAAGGCTCACTCCATTTTCAAGCCTGTAACAGCACATTGACTCTTTCTTATGCTTCTAATCTCTGACTTCTCTGTATCTGACTTTAGACCCCTATTTAAAGGGATGATATGGGGTGCCTGGGGGGAATCAATCTGACTCTTGATTTTGGCTCAGGTCATGATCTCAGGGTTGTGAGATCAAGTCCCACATTGGGCTCTGTGCTAGGCATGAAGCCTGCTTAAAATTCTCTCTCTCCCTCCCCTTCCCTCTCTCCCTCTCTTAAAAAAAAAGCAAGGGGGGGAGATGATGTGATTAGGTCAGGGCCACCTAGATAATTTTCCTATGTTAAAGTCAACTGATTTGAGACACTAATTATATCTGCAGACAGCTTCACAGAAACACATGGATTAGTGCTTGATTAACTGGAAGAAGGTATGTATGCAATTACCAGCTGGCAATTTGGTAGGCGATCTTAAAATTCTGCCTACCACAGTCCACCTTCTGATTCCTGAAGATTCATTTCCTTCCCAAGTGCAAAACATATTCACCTTCTCCCATATTCACAAGAATCTCATCTCATTACAGCATTAGCTCAAAAGTTGAAATCTCATCATCTAAATCACCTAAACCAGATGTGTATGAGGATCCTAGGCATAATCCACTAAGCACAGTTCCTGAAGATATTACTCTCCATCTGAAACTCCATGGGTCCATACACTGTCATGGTGACCAAGTTGGATACTATGACTGGGCTTCACAACATTGCCTTCCTATTACCAAGGCTGACCTGGCTACTGCCACTGCCAGGTGTCCAAAACTCCCACAGCAGAAGACAATGCTGACCCATGTATTTGGCAACATTTCCTGGTGCAGCCAACTACCTGCCAAGTGGTAAATTGATTATTGGAGACCTTCTTTCACAGAGGAGTCAGAATATTTTTCCTTACAGTAATAGATATGCATATCAGATAAAGAATTGCCTTTACTGTCCATAAGACTTCTGTCAGCATAAGCATGTCTTAGTTACCTGAATAGTGCCACACAAAAAATCACCAAAATCATACTGAACCAAGGAATTAATTTTGCTACGAAAGATAAAAAGAAATGGGCTAAATCTCACAGAATTTACTAATCTCTGACTTCTCTTATTGTGAAGATTTGGTAATAATTATTTTATAAATGTTTGATAGAATTCATCAGTGAAGCCATCTGGACCTGGGCTTTTATTTGTGGGTATTTTTTTTACTACCAATGCAAACTCTTCACCTGTTATAAGTCTATTTGTATAATCTATTTCTTCTTTTTTATGGAAGTCTAAATGACATACAATATTATATTAGTTTCAAGTGTACAACATGATCACCACATTAAATCTACTTACCATCTGTTACCACACAAAGTTAATACAATAT